CTCTCACCATCCATCGCACTAAAGTTAGTTTCTACTCCAAATACCTCAGTGATTTCCATTGCTTTTTGTTTCAGTATAGGCCCTGAAACAGGAAGATTTGATGAATGAATTTACTTTAGCCAACATACCAGAGCATCTTCGACATCTTTGTACGGTGACTTTCTCTAGCGTTTGAGACAGCCGTGACGAAGACCCAAGAAAAATTTTACTAATTTCCTCTTTTTTCTTCAGAATTACCACCAATGTTGTTCTTGAAAGGTTTTCTTGTTTTGCAAGTTTGGCTTGCAAAGTTTTATTACGTTCAAATTCAGATACAAGTTTGTATTTTTCCTTCAGTATAAGTGTTGTTAGGTTTTGGATACTCATTTCTAACAGAAATATGAAACATTTACTGCAAATAACACATGAATGAAAAAGGAAAAAATGCAAAATCAGATTCTGCTGTGGCGTTAACTCATTTTTTTTCAGGAGTGGAGTTGACTTATCAGATGTCTAAATGAGTGTGGGACAGAAAAAGTATGTTGATTTATCCAGTGGTGACGAGTTAAACAGTGTTGAGTAAACCAGAGTTTTTTAACATTAATGCTTATGTAAGTTGGCCAGGACCACAGAAAACTGACTACTTAACCAATGGTGTCTAGTTATACCTATGATGACTTATGCAGACTTGACTGTAATTCTAAACTTGTAGCATTTTCTATTCTTTTAATTTTTTCTGGAATTACAATACCTGATTTATTTATGATTAGGTTGTTTTCTCATAATTCTCTTTCTTTTTTTGTTGAGTATTTAAATCTTTTACTTATTTTTTTTTATCTTTATTTTCTTTATAATGTTGACCTATTAAATTTAAGTTGTCATTAATAAATTTATTACTTAGTTTTTAGTTTTTTGTTTTACAATTGAAATTTTCTTACTTTTAAATTTGATAGCAGATTTAATTATTATATGAGCTGTTGATTTTGAAAGTGGGGTAAGTCCATTTTCTGAAAAAATAGTTAAAGCTAATTCTTATTACAAATTAACATAAATTTTGTGTGTTTAATCAATTCACAATAAATATCTTTCAATATCAGTATAAATTTATTACTAGTAATTTATATCATCAACGATATTTACTGTGAATTGATTTTGAAGGTGAGGCAAGTCCATTCTAAATAACGACAGTGCGGGAGCACAGCTCTCTGTTGCCCATCATCCATAGTCACAGAAGAGTTAACAAACACAATCAGAATTAAGCAGTTCTACTACAATTGTGGTAAACTTCTATTCAACCAAACGTCTGGAGGAGGCAATTTCGAAAAGAACATAAAATACTGTTGGAGAAACTGTCAATTGGTTGAATATTTTCTGGATAAGATTTTCAAGAAATGTGCCATATAAATTATTTTATAAAACATAAATGGAAAAAGATTCACAATTTAAAACTTTTGATTTATCACCAAAACAGGGTAGGCCAAGTAGTTTCAGAAAAACAGTATTATCTGTTTCATCTTTAAATGCAAAACCTAGGCCTATTACTAAAAAAAAGTATAAAAATATGATGGATTTATTACCCTATGTACCACTCATTCATCATGAATACTTTAAAAATTGCACCATCTAAACTAAGGAATATAATTATATACATTCAACTTATTACTGAATATTCTTTCTTATTTTCTCCACTTTTTCCTATATAATTAAATTTATTTTTTGTTTTATTGTAGCATTTCGAAAGAAGTATGAAATGTTGAAATAAAATAAATAAGTAAATAGATAAAATATTCAATTTTTTGTTGTTATAATTATATTCCATTCAAAGAAAAGTAATCTTTATAAAAGTAATAATTTAAAAGACCACAAAAATCTGAGTACTATGCAATTTTATGTCATAATTTTACTAAAGGGGCTGACCAATGAACAGTGTTTGAAGGAAATGACTTTGTTGGGGGCAGATTTTCCACACTGAATCACCATATTCAGATGATATTAAGAGTTCCAGGGGGAAATTTCAGTCTGGATGATGATTCCTATTCAGGTCAAACTCCTATCCCTGAAAAGAACATTACTGATGTAAAGAAAATGTTGGAGTGGGATAGATATGTGACCTACTGTCAGGTAGAGGAAAGTTGGGCATCCACGCACCTGCAATACACACCATTCCACATAATCACATCAAAGTAAGAAAAGTGTGCTCTTTGTGAGTGCTCCACACATTAACCAAAGAGCAAATGAGGTGCAAATGTTTGGTATCAGGAGATGCTGAAAAGGTTAGAGAACAGAATCTTTCGTTGTCTGAACAGTATTGTAACAGGTGATGAAACTTGGCTTTATTACTACAATATCTCCACAAAATTAAAAAAAAAAGATGGGTCTTTGCAAATGAATGATCCTCAATAAGAATCAGAAAATCATAGTCAGTAAAGAAGAGAATGGTTGCCACATTCTTCAAGTTAGGGGAGCCATAGAGAATTTGGCACTGGAGATGCAGCAGATGCACTGACTAGTACACTGAACAGTGCCTACCCAGTGTTCTGTAGACACTAGAAAATCTACATCCAAAGTTATGGGCCAACAGTTGGTTCTTGCAAATTGATGACAAGAACATTAAAAATCCAGCAAATAATAAGTAATTTAATGAAAAAAACAAACATTTTCTACCTTTTTACTAGTCATCTTTGTATAAGAACATCCAGTTTCTCTCCTACAACTTGGTTCTTGTACCATGATAACACTCTTGTATATTGGGCTAACACCTGCATGACTTATTTGAATATTCTTGAACATCTCCCCTTAGCCCTAATATTACCTTATGTGATTTTGCCTTGTTTTCTTATGTGAAGAATCAGCTGAAGTGGCAGTGATTCTCTCTTGATGACAAGCTCTTACAGGATGAAGAATGGGCCCAGTTACCATAGGAAACATGGAAAGCATGGTTTAATGATTGGTTCTGAAGGATGCATAAGTTGGAAAAAAAGCTATATTGCAGAACTTTCCTAGTGCACTTTCTATTAGCACAAAGATGGCAACCTAAATACCTACCTTTAGATAAAATCAAATAGTTTTTTTATTATAATATAATCATTAGCTTAATTGCAGTTTAAAAATCTAGGAGTTGGTATTTGGTCATTATATTCAGAATATTCAAAATATCAATAAGTAACAAGTTGGCAGTAGAAACAGTACATATTGCATATTACATTATGATTGCATGGAATAACTGAAAGAACATGTAACAGGTATTAAGTACAAAAAATATAACATTAACAATATTCTTTTTCATTGCAAAATGAAGAGAAATCATCATTGAAAGAATAAAAAATAACAATTATATTAAACTCTAAAAAATATTCAAATAGTAACCTGCAAGTAATTGCATCAATATGCATTTAGTTCTATTATCATGACATGAAAATATAAGATTAATATCCAAAAATAAAAGTTCACAAACATTTACTTAATATTTTTACTTAATACTTAATTAAAACATTAGAATTTTTATTTTTAAAAACTTATTTAGAAACTTTAAAATTTTTGCAGTTTGCTTTATTTAATTTTACCATTAATTTATTTTAAGTGTATACATGATTCTTAGTTTACTGTAATAATATTTGAACAAAAATTAAATAAGCTATATGAATGAATCAAATAATTTAAAACAAACTTTTAGAAATAAACACTGTTGGATTATAGAGAACAAAAATATTCAGTCATCTTTAACTAGCTATCATTAGGTTTTAGAACAAAAATGAATCAAAATACAAATATTACACAATAGAACAAAGAATACCTAGTTATTAATATAATTCTGCATTGTTCCAGGAACTCTAAATGATTTTAACCATCTTCATAACAAATTTAAATTGGTTAAAAGTTTAAGTTAAAGTTAAAAAATTTCTGGCTGACATTGCCAAATTATGTTTGGCAATATCAGCCAGAAATTACAGATAGCTTGTTATGAAGATTGTTACAGTTTTTGTAAGTTGGAGTTCCTGGAACAATGCAGGATTACATTAACAGTTAAGTATTCTTTATTCTGCTTGCATGAATTTTGTATTTTTAAATCATTTTCATTTAAAATGGCTGAAGGTAATTTACATAGTAAAAACACAATGAAGAATACAAAAAAAAATTTGTATTTACAATCTACCATTTCATAGTCACCATTGACAACCAAAAACTGACTGAAACAGTGGACTGTAAAGCCAAAAATTTGTTTTGTATTTTTCATTGTTTTTCAAAATCATTTTGTTCTAGAACTTGATGATGGTCATTTAAGATAACTGAAAACATTTGTTCTCTATAAAAAAAATTCTGCTATATTAATAATGGTTTGTTTTAAATTTTTATTATAATTGGTTTAATTTATTTTTTGTAATATAAATTTAGAACAAAATGTTACTTTTTTTAACGGCAATTTCGAATTTCAATCTGATTACATCAAATTCTGAAGTATTTGTATTTTAATTAATTTTTATTGTATTTAAAAACTATAGTGTTATCTGAGTTAATAAAAAAAAACATGAAACCCAGTTCAAGTTAATCAGTAACAACAGCTATAATAAATACTATAATTTTGAAGTTGGAAAACCATCAATATATTAGGATTTCTGAGAATTGATTGTAGAAGATACCATATATATAATTAAAATAGTTATTATTATTTAAATATTCTTTAAAAATTATGGAAAAAATTTTTTAAAATTCTGATAGGAAAATAGTTTTGATATTTGTCAAGTGTGTTAAAATGAAAATGCAAATGGGGAAAAAGTGTATTAAATAAAAAGCACTTAGAAAAGTCTGTTAATGTATTGGTTAATTGGTCTGTTAATTGGTGTTAAGACCATCATAATTATCAAGCATAATCTTTCCAACTATGCATTAGCTGTAACATTTCTAAATTTAAGTGTTTAAAAATGATCATTACAATAAAAAATGGATTTTTGTAATAAATATAATAAATACAGAGTAATACAAGTTGCAATGCAGTGATTGTTAAATCATTAATTGCTTTGCAGTTTATATGTAAAACAAGGAATATATCTTAAATTGAGTTTACAAGGACAGGAACTCCTGGATAGCTTTTGGCTATTGGATAGTTTCATCTCTCTTGTGGTAAGTAGGACAAATAACAATAAAAAGTACCATAATAGATCATTTAGTTAAAAACAAAAAGCAAATATTTAAATAAAAACATACAAAATCAAATGAAATAAATTGGAACAATACAGATACTTTCATTTTGTTCTTAAAATTTTTTTTAAGAGAAAAATAACAATACATTGAAAATTATAAGTTTAAAAATTGAAAACAATTATTAATCATGAAAATTAAAATATATTTATAATATAACAAAATAATACATGAAATCTGTCAACTATTGTGCAGTATTATATGGTGAAAGTTGTAAGTTACATAAAATAATTCAGTATATAAACAATTAACTTGTATTCTTTTAGCATTAAATCTGGAATAATGATGTAATGAAACAGAGCCACACAATTTTTCTTGCATGTGTATGCACAATTTTATTAGATGAATATTAGAATATTGAATTACATCAAAATTCAAAATGAATACTGTATTTTGATATGAAATAAATAACAGATTTTTTCCTTTGCATCAATAATTGATCTTATTCAGAATTATCTTGACCAAGGGTAAATATAAAATAAATAATTTTCTTTGGAAATTAGATTATTATAATGCATACAAAAACAATTTAAAAAAGTTTACAAAATGTAAATAAAAAAATCAGTTAATAAAATTAATTTAACAAAATTGAATAATGATGACAGAAAGTTGATATTTATTAAATATGAATCTGTATTAAATACAATAGATATTATTAAACATATCAAGATATTTACAACTTTGAAATTTGGTTTCCTGAATAAGCAGTTTTAAATTCTAAACTATTTTATTTGCTACTTACTGATGTTATAAATACAGGGTGAATAAAACTAAGTTTTTAAAGGGTTTCTTTGTTTAATTTTATTTTGTCACATTTGTTTCTTTTTTCTATGTGAAAATTATTTACTTGGTCATTTATTCACTTGATGAGTGAGCCAGTTTTGTGGGATACTTCACAGAAATACCGTATATGAGAAAATGAATGTATTTCGCTTAATTCTTACAACATACTCTTTTACAGAGTATGTTGTAAGAATTAAGCAAAATACATTCATTTTCTCATATAATAATTCAGTTATTTCACATAATATGGGAAATTTAACTGAATATAACCCAAATATAAAAATAAAAAATTTTCATGTTGACTCAGGATATTTTTTTCTCTAAGAAGAAGAGAAGAGAGAAAATATTTCGAGTCAACATGAAAATTGTAACCATATGCAAATGAAGTGGATAACTCATACCTATTACCAGAGGGCTAGAAGCAGTTATAAATTGGATAAGGATAGTATAGTGAGAAGAATTATTTTTGGTTTTAATGTAAAGATGTCAGATCCTCTAATAAAAGGCTGACACTTGATCGTTTTTAACTTCGTGAATTTTTTTAACCTATTTTTTACCTTTGTTAAAGAAGTTTATTCTTCAAAACCATTGTAACTGTTACTTCTGTGGTTAGATTAAAGGATTAAAAGATAGACTCAAAAATATTATGTTTTTATGAATAGTATAAACTTCAAATATATGAAAACTAAAAAAACTATCTAAAATTACATTGATATTATTGTGAGGTCCTGGAAGGAAGTCAACTTAGAGGTCTGAATGGAGACTATCAATTGAGAAATTAAAATCTCCTTTCCAACTCGAAAGGGAGAAATTACTAAAACTATGGTATTTCAGCACACCTTGCAGAAATAACCTCCAATGACCAGTTGCACATGGGCAAATCTTGATGGGACGGGATAGCGAAAATGAATTCTATTGTCTGTGTATGCACACCGGTATCCAGGTTGATGAAATATTTTGCATGTTTCACATTTATGTGTAACATCTATTCCTAACAAATAGTCTATATGATTAGATCTCTTTCATTCGTCCATGTAGACAGTGCTTCCTGTTTTACCATATTTTGAAATTAACCAATCAACAGTTTGTTTGGATCTGTCATTCACTTTGCATACACAGCATGCATTATCTTGCTGACATATGCCTCTGACAACTCAATGAATTACCTTAAGACATTTTTCGTTATTTCTTTTACAAAATACAGTTTTATCAATTACAACTGTTATATTTTGCCCAGATCACCAACTTTAAATTCAGATTCATTACTTACAGATAGCATCATGTGAAAAAAACCATTGAATAGCACTTTTTCCAAAATTCTTTGAAATTTTTCTCAATTTCCAACATTATTTGGTTATATTACTATTAATACAACTAATATTAATTATGGTTATAAATTCCATAAAAAACAATAAAGTTTCAAAACTCATAAAACTGTTATAAATACCAAAATGCATTAGCAGCAAATAATCTCAAACTCAAAATTTTGCATATTAATAAAAACTTTTGATTTTACCTACATTGTATTTCATCTGGCACATATTGTCAAGATTCTGGAAGAGGGCTTGGTAGACCATTGGGTCTACCAAGGTAACATTTACCTTTTAAACTTGTTATGTTATCAAATAAACTTTTTGGCATTATCATTATCATACCATGTTTTAACCAAACAAAATATCTCTGCCAAATTATTAAATTCCAAAACTATGTATTGTCAGTTTTATTCTTTAAACCAGTTATATTATAAAATAATAATTCAAACATATCTTCAAGTTCACTACCAACATTATTTTGAGGATAAATTCCATCATATGTTTCACTAGAAATTATACAGGTATCCTTCGGTTTATGCCATAGTTCCATTTCTACAAAAGCTGGCACAAATCGAATCGGTGTAAAATTAACCCAAATTTACAGCGAGGTATAGGGTTGGGTTCTACATAAGTGAAAAATAAGCAAATAATTTTGTTTATTAATGAATATTCAGGCTTGGTTGTTTCTGTATACAGGTAGCCCTCCTACAAAAGCCGGCACAAATCGAATCGGTGTAAAACGAACCCATATTTACAGCGAGGTATAGGGTTAGGTTCCACATAAGTGAAAAATAAGCAAATAATTTTGTTTATTAATACAATATAATACAAAGTAC